CTGGGACCGCGGAGCATAAACAGCCCAGAGGCGGAGGTCCCTGACTCTGCCTGGCCCACTGGGACCGCGGAGCATAAACAGCCCAGAGGCGGAGGTCCTTGACTCTGCCTGGCCCACTGGGACCGCGGAGCATAAACAGCCCAGAGGCGGAGGTCCCTGACTCTGCCTGGCCCACTGGGACCGCGGAGCATAAATAGCCCAGGGGCGGAGGTCCCTGACTCTGCCTGGCCCACTGGGACCGCGGAGCATAAACAGCCCAGGGGCGGAGGTCCCTGACTCTGCCTGGCCCACTGGGACCCCGGAGCATAAACAGCCCAGAGGCGGAGGTCCCTGACTCTGTCTAGCCCACTGGGACTGCGGAGCATTAACAGCCCAGAGGCGGAAGTCCCTGACTCCGCCTGGCCCACTGGGACCGCGGAGCATAAACAGCCCGGAGGCGGAGGTCCGTCCCCGACTCCGCCTGGCCCACTGGGACTGTGGAGCATAAACGGTCCAGAGACGGAGGTCCCTGACTCTGCCTGGCCCACTGGGACCGCGGAGCATAAACAGCCCGGAGGCGGAGGTCCCTGACTCCGCCTGGCTCACTGGGACTACGGAGCATTAACAGCCCGGAGGCGGAGGTCCCTGACTCCGCCTGGCTCACTGGGACTACGGAGCATCGGAGCATAAGCAGCCCAGAGACGGAGGTCCCTGACTCCGCCTGGCTCACTGGGACTGCGGAGCATCGGAGCATAAACAGCCCAGAGGCGGAGGTCCCTGACTCCACCTAGCCCACTGGGACTGCGGAGCATCGGAGCATAAACAGCCCAGAGGCGGGGGTCCCTGACTCCGCCTAGCCCACTGGGACTGCGGAACATCAAGCGAAAACTGTAACCGGGAGCTTGCCGCCTGAAACAAAAACAAAAAAAAAAACGATGATTTTATGCATGTCACGGACGCAGCGTGGATCGTAACACCCATATCATTATTGACTCGCACTCAGCAAATTTTCTCCTATTTCGTACGGAAGTGTGCATGTAACCTTTCAATGTGAGCATGGCAAGCTGAAGGATTCTCCTACTAACATCCCATTTAAGCCTGAGTTGCGTCAGAAGATCAGGCGAAACCTGTTCGGAGTCACAGTGCTCATTTACAAATCCACTTGGATCTCAAAACCCATGTGGGAAATTCGCTGGACAGTGGGAATTCGGAAATCCGTGTCCCAGCCACGTGATTGCTGGCACGAGCGGTGTACTGGGGAGCATCTCGCGGGGAACGACGCAAATCGCCTCAGACCGGTTTTGTCACTTGCCTTGGTACTTTCTAAGCCTCACTATCTCTTCATTGCTATCAACAAACGCCTCCTTTAGTTCTGTTGTCCATTTCTTCCCGCCACAGGCCTGGGCTTCATAATGGTTGGGAGATAGGGTATATGAAAGGGAGGCGGGCGGCGGTGGAAAGTGACCCTTTTTCAAATTTGTGCATGCATTGATATTCATGTTGGAAATACCGACAGCTAAAAAATTCGCGGAGACATGCCGACAGAAGTAAATATCGCACATTAAACGTGCGATGTTTTAGCACTACAAACGGTTTCAGTGAAATATTTTGCTTTGTGCTCGCCCATGGCGACATTTTGTAGGTGCCCTGATGGTGGAACACAACAGTTTTAAGTCGGTTGCCACTACACCACATCCATAGACGTTAGGCTAGCCATTCAGAAACACTGAAGATGGCTTCAACCCGCTCCAAATATACAGGAAAGTTCCACCCTTGCACTTGAGGAATATCCACATGTTATATGAAAGCGTCCGGCTGCAAATGCAAACAAAAAGTGCAGCGTATGTTTCATTAACAGAAAACTCAGTTGTCAAACAAGTCTCTCCTTAAGAAAATTTAGATGCATTGCCTGCTCCGAGAACAGCACCAGCATGACGGCCATACGTGGCTGTACTTTTCGTTGCTGTTTTCGTTGACTTGCAAACTCTTTTGCACCGCCGCCGAACACCATATGCAGGTTAACGTAATATCTGCTGACCGAGCCGGCCGAGAGTAGTCTTCCCTGGCTGGGGGGGAGGGGTTCAGGTCCGCTCTGGTGGTAAGCAAAACATTGTTTTGTCTGGCTTCTTCGCTGACGCGATCAGGCTGATCTCGATTCTGAGTCAAATCAGTACAAAAGAACTATGAGCTGATTCCGAATTTGACTTAGAAGGGCGCCATACAAATTTGAGTCTACTCCGATTTCCGTCCAACGATATTCTTGATATCTCTAATGCAGTAGATTGGTCAAAGGCAGACACAACACTTTACGCATCCCATTATGATACGTGAAAAACCTTGCAAGGACATTTAGCTCGATAAAAAATGTCGAAATATTTAGTACGCGACTTTCTGTCCATAAGTTCCGAATGTTAGAAAAAGACCTTTTTGATCTCGTTTGCATAAGAGAGGGTTCTATCACGTTCCCATTGAACACGTTTGAGTCACTCGGACCCAAGTTTTTACGATGCCTGCCAAAATAAGTGATTCTGTCTTAACTGGATAAAAATGTCGTTGATTCCGGAGTCAAGTCCAGGTCCACCGGAGTCATACTGAGCGGGCAACGGCCACGCCTGGTCGTACGCAAATTGCTCGGCGTCAGAATGGATCCACAATACTTTAAGTGTGATCGTGATGGCTGCAAACTGCCAGCTAACTCGCAACACTTCGCCGTAGTAACTGCTCAGCTTGCACGGATTTGCCATGTCTCCTCGCCTATGGCCGAGCTTTCGCCCGATTCACATGTGCCAGCCAGCATTGGAGGTTGTCAGGCGGCGGATCTTGGATCTTCTCCTCAGTCTAAGCCGCTGCTTTGCTATGCACCAGACCGCTGTTTCCTGAACGTCACAGGTTTTGCGGGACACCGCCGGCCGGGCTGGGCTGCGTGCTGCCTGCCGTTCTCCCGAGCCGGCGGCTGAATGCTAGCCCGTGAGACCCGGCCTGCCACGGCGCCGAGTGAAGCTGACACCTCAAAGCCAGAGCCCAGCGTCCCTGATGGCGGCCGCCGGCGCGGCCGACCTGTCGCCGCCGTCCGGCTTTCGCCCACCGAGCCCCGGCACCAGGGCAGCTCCGGATTCGCGGCAGGTCGGCACAGCGGCGGCGGTGGCGGCGGCGCGGCATGCGTGCCTGCAACAGCTCCCCGCGGCCTGTCCGTGGCGACGGAGCGCCTGACGGCCCGACGGGCGCATCAGAGCGGTGCAGACCGGCCAGGTCAGGCCGACGCGCTGCTCGCAGACACGCGCGGACCGGTCGGACAGCGCAGCGGCGTGCAGAGCGCCCCGCACCACACCGGCCATACTTGTGATGGGCAGACACGGCCGGGGTTGGGACGGGAATGGAGTCAAGCTGAAGGGACGAGGTGAGTGCCCGGTCGTGAAACCGGGCCAGCAGAGCGACGGGGCGGCGAGATAGTGTGCAAATGCTGCAGGGGCGAGCAGGGAGCACAGGGCGCCAGGCGTCTGCAGCAGTTGCTGTGCGGACACGTTTAAACAGTGACAGCTGAATTCTTAATAGACTGTGTTATCCCGCACGCGGCGCCGGACTCGTCTGGCTCTGAAATGTACATCGCCAATGGCATAAAACTGTTGATTATAACGACTAAGTATTTCGTCCTCATGAAGGATTTGGAGCACTGCTTCAGAGGCTTGTAAACTCCGCGGAATCGTCCAGATGACATCTCGAATTTGAATATACATATATATATATATATATATATATATATATATATATATATATCTCTCTCTCTCTCTCTCTCTCTCTCTCTCTCTCTCTCTCTCTCTCTCTTTATACACTTCCGGACGCAGCGGTGATGTTTGCCAAGCTAAATGTAGGTCAAAACCGGTGATGCTTTCTGGTTTTTTACCGTTTATGCCTTATGTTTCACGTCCACGAAGTACAATTCCAACGACTGTTCGAAAATATGTATGAGAAAATCATGCTCTCGGGAGTGATTAAAAAATTTCGGCAGGCTGCAGAGAAATGGTACTGAAAACAATGACAGACATGATACAACACGCCGCAGACGGAAGGACACAATATCGCATGCGACCGACGGAGGAATATGATGTCGAACGCAACAAAGGGAAGGGCATCATATCAAACGCGACAGATGGAATGCCATGATATCAAACACGACGGACGAAAGAACATAATATCGACATCACAAATATTGGGAGACATATATGTCAAAATGAGCCGTAATCGAATAACAAAAGTTCAACGCGAAGCATATCGACGCGGACGTAGATGAAATAACTTTATCGACTTACCAAATATTCATCAGACAGCACAAGACAGAAACAATGAAACCGAAAACGAAAGTGTCGAACATAAAAACTCAACGTGTGTTTCAACAATGGCTGACCAGCGTCGACAGCAAAATAAAAAGAAAATTTCCGGCTAGGAAGCTCCCGTCGGGACAAAAGTGAGAGCTGAAGAACATGTATCCACCATTCAAACCGCACTAACCAGCAAACTCATGGGCGTGAATTCAAAGTTAATAGCAGAATCGTGTCGTGACGCGGGGAACCGTGCCCCATCCACGACGCTCAAGGATACAGCACTTATCCTTTTGGACTTGGTCGTCTGGCTATTTGCGCGTTTTCTGAAACTAGGCCCCCAAACTCAACGTTGTATACATATATTACCTAACCCAGCCTAGTATAACAAGTCTGACCTAACGTAACGTAACATAACATGGTCTGACCCGACCTGACCTGACCTAAACTGGCTATACTTTATCTAACCCAACTTAATCTTACATAACCTGGCCTAACGCAACCAAGGATAACTTAACCCTAGCGGCCAAGTATATATTACTGGAGAGGTGATCAAATATACATGTGGTGAAAGCTACCCATTCGCTTGCAACCAGCGTCACGTGCAGCTTTTCATTCGGTCCGTGACCACTATGGAAGCAATAGCTGCATATAAAACAGTAATAAAAGCATTATTTCTCGTAGAAAAACCAGAAGAATGGAAAATTAGATAGAATAATCACATGTATTTCGGCATTGCTCCCCGATCCATCGCCTAACACACCTGACAAAATACAACTGTTCAATGGCATTCGATCGTTTACCTTTCCAGTTGATCCCATCAATGCTCATTCTTATACGCTAGTCATAGATCATTTACCTTCTCGATATTCATACCAGCCGATATTTATTCCGTTGATATTTTGCACTTAGACATTGTTTAATTCGATATTTAGTCATGCCGTTGTATTGTTTTCGATCAGTTGTGTTTCATATTTTTCGTACAATAAGTTCGTGCCCGATATTTTTCTGTGGTCGCTTTATTCCGCCAAGGTCTTTATTACGTTCGCGATAAGTGACTACCAAGTGGCATTTTCGACTATTGTATGTACCAATTCTGGTCCTTTCCTTCTACACAAAGTTTCCGAACTTCGCTAAGCTCTTTTCTTCAAAACATGCACACCTACACACATGCCTGCATAGTACCACCACCAGTCCTTTTCGCCACATATTCTGTCTATGAATCAGGTCCCTCCCCGCACCGGCGTCGGCCCTGCACGCCCGGGAGGCTGCGAGGCCTTGTAGCGCAGCACCTTCACCACCTGGAACAGGCCCGACAGGCCGACGCCGAAGTTGACCGCGAACAGGCTCCAGTTTTTCGGCGTGATGACCAGCGAGTAGCGCGACCAAATGAAGCCGGTCAGTGAGAGCGAGCTAGCCTGCGGCAGGCTGAGCTTGTCCCCCGGGCGGCCCAGCGTGTCGGACAGCCCAGTCAGCACCAGACACCACTTCTGCAGCGGCCCCCAGAAGAATACTGTCTTGGGGCCGGCCGGGTGCTCCCAGAGCGGGCGTAGTCGGAGCGGCACGTGCGGGTCGCAGAAGCGGATGATGCTGCGGTACAGCGGCGAAAAGAGCGGCACGACCATGGCGCAGCCGTGGCGTTGCAGGGTACAGGTCGCCGGCACGGGCGCAACAGCGCAACCGCTCCTCAGCTTAGGCCTGTGGTGCCGCAGAAATGGCGAAACAGGGATAGCCGAGATCTGAGTACAATTAAAACAAAGGAGTTTATAACGTAAGCTTAATGCCCAAAAACGCGATGAGGCTGAACACAAAGCATCATAACATACCTACAGAGTTTTCATAAATGACCGACCGTAGAGTTCGTGCAAAAATATGACAGGTGCTCTCGAATAAACTTTTGACAACTTGGAATATACTCGGAAATGTTTTTTTCGGCATTGCCAATGTATTGAAGGGACAATATCATCGTTTGTATTTAAACTGAACTGCATATGTATATGAAAATGGCGTGTCCAAATCGGAATGCCGTTTTATGACCCAGCCGCCGCGTGCTCGAAAGAGTCTAGCCACGACGTACGCCTGAGGCGTGGTTTTTGTCATACGTAGCGATATACTGGAAACAGTAACCAGTCAATAACTAAGCGCTAGATTTTGCTGCATGCCAGGGGAAGATAAGTAAAGCCTGAGAATGACATCAACCTGATTCTGTGTTGCTGCATTATGAGTTCAAAGTTCTCAGGTCAAGTTTACGCCCTTCAGTATTCCAGGAGATACCCTTTAAATTGCTATTTAGCATTACAACGCTGGTAAACCAGTATCTCTTGATATATTGAAAGTTGACAACTCAACACAAGAACTTTTAACTCATAGTGCTGAAAAACCACCAGCTGAAGACCTTTCTTTCTCATAGTTGTTTTCCTGCCCCGCTCCCGCAGGACAGGATGCATCCCTTGCCTGCTCCGACTCAAAAAGCTTACGCGTGTGTTTTATTTCATGATAACTAGGCGCGCTCAAGCTGTGCGCTGAGATGGAAGTAGCTGTTCGTTTGAGCGGTCAGTCGTGCTTTGACGGCACCCTGACGCTTTAGTCAGGTCGAATTCTGAACGGCTTTACTGCTGACAGGCGACCCCCAAGCACTCTGAGACCGACTTTGAGCCGCTCAAACTAGGCTGGACGGCTGACAAACTATATTTGATTGCTGCACCACACAAAAGTGGAATATCCCGAAACAGCGACGGAGATCCTCTTGGAATTCCAGAGTTGTGTGACTGCGCTGATATAAAACAGCGGACTGGGCGGCACAGCATTAAGAGTCTACGTGTTGAGGCCTAATGCATTTTAACCGCAATGTCACAAAATGTCGACGAACAAATCATAAAGCATAAGTAATTTACAGCAAAAATCATTCCAAACAAACCAACCAGTTACATCAATCATTCGACAATCGTCGAAAAAGTAATCGAGCCCGATCGTCCCCTAGAAACTGTCGGACGGTATCCGAGGGCGGGGTACGCTCGTCACGGCGCCGCCCGGGGTAAGAAGTCCAGGCGAGGAGACCCGCGGGACCGAACCCGTCTTCTCCCCGACTCTGGCCCGTCTCATCATCAGCACCATTCGGCTGAGCGAGGCCAGTTTCCGAATGATGCACGACTGAAGCGTCGGTCGGGGTGCGCCACGGGCGTGGGAGACGGCGGCAGCTGTTGTCGGTAGAATAACAGACGAGGCCGGCCGTGCCGCGCCATCGGCCGTGGGTGCGCCATCGGCCGGGGCGCGCCATCAGCCGCGCCGCGCCATCGGTCGGGGCGCGTTCCTGACAGGACGCCACGGCGAGCGCGTCAGACCATCGGGCCGCTACCAATTCTGGGATAAACTGTGTTATGTAGGAGTGGTGCGTCCGCTGTGTCATTCATTAGAGATCGCAGGGCACCATAGACCTGAGGAATTTGATTTTTGTCACCGTTAGATGGCCAGCGACTCTTGCTTTCGTGGTTGACGACAGGAGATCATTATTGGAACAATTCTTCGTCTAACGAACGACTATTTGGCCAGAAACCGCAGCACGACTTCTAACAGAAAAATGGTACATTGACAGACCATTCATGGGCAGTTCAATGCCTAGTAATAAACGGTCTCCCATGACCTGCTGATGCATTTCAGTTTGTTTTTAGATGCGTTACTTTTGCTGGCACTGAGGCCATTATGTACGTGCTTCCCAAACTACATACATGTCCAAGAAATACGGACGCCATTTACAGGCCGAGTTTTCCGATTGCATACTCCGCAAGATACTCGGGGAGAACAGTCAGTACCCGGGTCAAAGACAAGGCAGGGATTGCGTACACGGCAGGATACTCGGAGAGGAGAACAGTTGGTACCCGGGCCAAAGACAAGGCAAGGATGAGTTTTTAAGGTCAAATGTCACCATTTAAACAACATTTTATGGTTGCATTCGCGGGAATTCGTGACGCTGTGCAAGTTTTGCAAGTGTAATGGTACACCAAATATTGCACACTTATAAAAGCACTGTTAAATATGGCATTACTAGGGTCTTAGGACAAAACCGTTATGAAAACGCTAACTGAGCGAATAAATGGAAAAGACCGTGTTTTGCTGTTTCGCATCAGCTCAAGCCCGAAACGTTCTATTTACGATTTGTTTGTATGGTGTGATATATAATAAACTTGCCAACTATATTGATAAGCCCTATCCATTTCCATGAATTCTCTCACCTTGGCTGCTAACCAATGTTGTACAAACTATAACTAAACAGAGAACACCGGTAACCTTTCTTGCTACCTATCTTTGAAGGAAACGCGGGGAAAAGCACCGTTTTTGTAACAAAGAAAACAGCTCTATTGCATAACGTCGTCAAAAGGGTACATTACACATTGAATGTGGAGATATAACACCAACCTTAATCGATAAACAGCCGTTAAGGTGGGATTCCTAACCAAGCATATCGTTATCAAACAAGCATTGATCATGCAGAGAAAACTTGACGCTTCGGGACTGCGTTCATGGTCATGAATCTGTGACCATGAGTTACACGTGGTCATAGTCACCCATAGTCACCATAGTCATAGTCACAGGAGCACAGCTTCGATCATAGCGCATGAGGACTCGTACACAGCTCGAAGAGTCGAGTTCTGTTTTCCATATCACCAATGTTTGCTCAATGCCATCGTTTAAACGGTACCTCCTGGTATGGTGAAGGCCGCTTATTTTTGCGTAAGAACTCCTTACTCATTGTGCCGAAAAACAAGACCAAGATCATCCTTGCTCACATCAGTTAAACACACCATGAACAGGGCAACACAGGCGTTTTACTTATGTCTTCTTCAAATGCTCCCCAGCAAACTGATCTGAGTTACATAATGTCCTCAGCGTGTGTCATCATTGCTGGTGACGTATTCGGTATCATATGCATATATAATGAAACCAAAGTTATCCACAGACAATGAAGCACCACCTCAGGAGCTGGAGCGTCTAAGAAACATAGCTGAGATCCGTACGTGAAGGACCGCTCAGTGTAAGCCAAATTCGTCGTCGAAATCCGAAACTTCGTGAACCGCTAAAATATTCCCTTTTAATGTTTTTAAGAGATATAAATCACTTTCCTGAGCATGCTCGCAGAGACCGTGCTCACAGAGGACGATCAGTCGCAAGCCTCGTCTACTAATGGCCAGGCGCCTGGGCCCAGAATCCCGAGTGCCCTACACATTCGGCAGGTATGGTTGGGCGGGCGCCCGGAGTGGGTGGCAACTGACTACTATGCATTATCAAAACGTGACACGTTCAAATGCCCATGACCAACCGAGCGCCTCTGCTCAAGCCCCAGCCGGCTGACCATCCTCAAGCAACCGTTCCAGAGCTGCACGCACGATCACTTCGGCACAAAGCGCACAGGAAACGCAATTTCCTGCTCTCGAAAGGTTCAAGCCTTTGAATCTGAAGTCCATGTGTTATAGCCGTGCTGTAGACTCCCTGGGGACCAACCCCAAGGCCAACTTTGATTTGTGTCCGCCAAGATTGCCGGCTCAGATTGCGTGCGGTGCCTTTGTTGCCTGGCGGCTGTTCGGTGAAAGGCCTTGTAGTGCGAGACCCGCGGCCTGGCGCGGCCGCCCGGGCAGAGGAGGCTCCCGTCGGCTCTCCTGACTCAGCCTTGTAGTGCGAGACCCGCGGCCTGGCGCGGCCGCCCGGGCAGAGGAGGCTCCCGTCGGCTCTCCCGACGCAGCCTTGTAGTGCGAGACCCGCGGCCTGGCGCGGCCGCGCGGGCAGAGGAGGCTCCCGTCGGCTCTCCCGACGCAGCCTTGTAGTGCGAGACCCGCGGCCTGGCGCGGCCGCCCGAGCAGAGGAGGCTCCCGTCGGCTCTCCTGACTCAGCGCGCCGCGCTCGTCACACGCGCTGCCAGGGGCTCTCACCACCTCGGCCTCTGACAGACCGCGGCTGCTCAAGTCTAAATGCGCATATATGTGTGTTCGTGCTTCACCTGTCCTGCGCATGCCGGGCTTCGTCCCTAGAAAACGTCGCACTAGCTGTGCCGACGGCTGGATAAATCAATATGCACGAGCCCAAGCTGTCCAAGTGCCAAACTGTCCAAGAATGTCCAAATGCGTCATAGGGCTAATGTCTAGCTGCTGCGAGGCTCGGCCCGCCACTTTCTGACCACCCCAAGAGTCCAAGAGACCGGGGTGCGACGGGGGAGGGGAGGGGGGAGGGGTCGACGGCTGGTCGCGCCAGCCGGGCGCGCGAAGCTCACCTTTTACGGGCGACCGCGGTGGCGAACGGCCAAACTTCGGACGCCGATGGGTCATCAGAGTGCGGACGTACAGAGCATGTCGAAGGCAGTACCCCCCCCCCTCCCCCTCGGCCAATCGGCCGGACCAAGGCACCGGCCAACACGTGCTCCCCTCCCCCTAGCGGCCCTGCCGCGGCACCGAGGTCCACTGCAAGGCGTTAGCATAACCCTTTAAGGGAGACCAGCTGAGGAAACTGAAATGACGGATAGGAAAAGGTAGTTCGCAGGCCTCCAGACCGTGTTAACTCATAAAATAAGCCGTTCGTCTCCGCAGAACGCATCCTAAATGTTTCGCTTTAATACCGACATCAAGCTGCGCAGTGGATGACGCTGGGCCTCAGTAATAGCGCTCATTAGTTACACTGGCGAGCAGGCGCTTTCTGCGTATCGCTACAGTGTTGTGGTTCGGGTCCCAGTGGTCTCGGCGGTTGAGAACAGCTGCAGCAACTCAACCCACACAGCTACCGTTTACCGCACCAAGTATGCTGTTG